TTACAGGTGTTGGACATGGCAATGTCCAACCATGAAGTGTACCACCTGTCCTGATTTGTTAAATGTGTGCCATGGACAATTTCTCTTTCCATATCTGTATTAATTTCTGTCCTATGCTTTAGTAATTGAGAAGAGGGTGAAGAAAGGAGAAAAGAAACTATTGGAGAATAATATTTGGTGTGTAAACCCATGTAGGAAACCCATTCTTTCCTCCTGGCATTTACAACTGCACCATCACCTTGAGTTAGTATTTGAAGAGTTGTTTTCTTGGAGAGAAAGGATATGATCTGATTAGAGGGGTAAGTGGACACATGAAAAGCAGCAGGGAATCCTCTTGATTTTTTTTTTTAAGTAGGTGGGAACATATGATGTGTTGTTCATCCAAATATATTACCATTTACTGTCTCTGGGACCCTAGATCCTCCTTTCCCCCAAATACACCATTGTTGCTATTGGCTATCATCACCCTATACATGCAACACAGTTCTTCTCACATAGATGTATTGCTGAGTCCTTTAGTTACCAGCTGAAAGCAAATGTTCCCTGGATATTATTTCACAGATGTGAGAACATCCCATATCTATATACTGTGCTTTTCATCCCTCAGCCACCCTGAATGTGTCTTGCAGAAGAACTTGTACATCACAGAAAAGTGGGATGAGCAGTGCTAACTGCTCCTGGTAAAGCTGGTGTCCATGATGCTTTATTTCACTTGGGGAAAGGAGGGGACACACAGCCTGGGAGAAACTGTCTCAGCAGAAGCTGATGTATATTAATTATTTAATAACAAGCACAGTGCCTGCTTTTTTATTATTTTTATGCCTATGGAACTCAAACTCAATTGGTGTGGTGAGATTACTGCCTAAGGCTGCCCCCAAAGAACTGCAAGAGCAGGAGCCCATTGGACACATGCTGGTCTGTTGCATGTCTTAATAAAGCTTTAAAATGCTTGAAATTGTTTTTGAAATGAAATATTCCATGGCTGCAAGTTAACTGCATACTTTGTAATAATTGCTTAGCCAAATAAAGGAAAATTGTGAGGAACAAGGAAAAGTTAGATTGATGGCTAGAAGAAAAAGATTATATAAAAAAATCATAAAGAAGAGAAATTAAAAAAAAATACCATGGCGTCACAGACTTTTGCACAAAGACTTTCCTTCCAATAGGAGCTTTTCTTTTCCAGCAATTACTGTTCATTTTATTCTGCCTGTTTGCTACAAATCCCAGAAAAACTTTTTATATGGGAATAATAGAGAAAATGGTCACAAATTTAGGCAGAAACTGGAACACAGTGTAAAATTTAAAAGCAGGGGTATGCGTTTCACTGCCATTCTGAGTGGAGTTATGGTGGACTGTAAATTATTAATGATTTGACTGGAATTGCCTTTTTTTAACTCTTAAATCAACTGTGACTAAACAGGAAAAAGCACAGAAAGCCTTCTGTGTGTAATTGTCAGCTCAACTTGTACATTTAGAGCCCTTCCTCATTCAAATTTACTGCTCTTAGTGGCCATTAGTAACAGAATGAATAATATACTGTGAATAAATCCTCTCATGGTTACCCTTTCTCTCAGTAGATTAAGAGCAGAAATTATAATTTGTGGACATGTGTTAGTGTCCAAAAGCATCTGACAAGTGTGCAGTTGTTTGTTTTGAACAAATTATTTTTGAAAGATTAGTACACCCTTAAGTTTTGTGTTCCTGCTATGGCATGAAAAACCATTCTGGCATGATTTTAAATTACAGGGTATTTAGGAAGAAAATACAGAAGATAGTTACAGTGAACAGTAGGACTTTAGGGAAATACCTACAAGCTAGTGCAGGCATTTAAAAATACGAATATTATTGTAAAGTCTTTAGGTGACGTCTGGTAATAGATATTTAATCTAGCAAAAGCACTTTCATTGCTTACTTGTTAAAGTAATTTAACGGATGAGTGGTGCTACTAATGGACCACATGTATAATCCAGACTTTTTGTGTTCAGAACATTCCTTTAGGGTTTAAATTTCTAAACAAGTTCAGAAGCAATTTGAAGAAATTTATCCTATATACAAGTCATGGGAAACATAATTTATGAACTTTTCTTCTTAGCATTTCCGCTGCATTTAGAGGATAAGAGAAACCACTATGTATACATGTGTGCAATTTCCAGTCAGCTGAGTGATATACCTTTTTTTGTTAGAAACTGTGACTGGAGGGATGTATGATTGAGCATGAGAGAGAGATGAACAGAGGGCTTAAAAACAATTGTAAGTTATCTGAACAAACATAAAATGCTAGGCTTCCCTTCACTATTTTTTGAGAGAATTGCATTAATAATGTCTGTAGCATAGTTCTTGCAAGAAGTTGTAGCAAAAAAGCAAAAAACCTCAAATCATAGCAAAACCATCCTTTCTTTCCATCCTGACACTTTGGGATGCTGGAAGAATTGAAGAATTGAAGATAGACATCTGAAAAACAGATAATTGTGTAATAAAAATAAACCTATACATTGTTTTTTTAACACCTGTTAGTATGATCAAGTCATGCTATTTCGAACACTTGCAGAAGTTCATTGATAAGCATTGCAGTTTTGTTCAACTAGGACTTAATTTCTTTTCTGAACACATGGCTATGTATTGCTGAAACTCAGATATCACCTACATAGAGTAGCAAGTTAGGGAAATAATCTGTTGTAAATGTCTCTGACTTTGTGAGGATCACTGCTCAGTCACATGGTTCAAGAAAGAACTAAAATGTAGTTGTTGACTCCAGGCTCAGCTGTTTCCAAATAAATGTTTGTGAAACCTCCAACTTTAATAGTTGCATTGTATCATCCAAAAGACGTGCAACAGAATGAATAGATGACCTTTCAGATAGAGAACAAGCTGTTCACCATGCCTTTTCATTTACTGAGACAAAATACCCTTTTTATGCAGAGATAATACTTTCCATCATTTTTAACAATGTTGATGAAATATAAAGAATTTAATTGTTTTGTTTCTGAGCACAAGGGGGATTTGCTGTGCGTCTTTAGATCAGGACTCTTTCAGACCAGCTGTGTTAAATGCATTGATCTAGATAGATCTATTTTAATTTTTTAAAAAGACAATGGAGGTATTTTGAATCCCATGCTCACAGGGTGATCTGTCATTAGCTATCCATCCATGTGATGTCCGCATGATATCTGTTCTTTGAATGATTTATGCATGAATTCTTATTACCATCCTGCACCACAGCTATAGGATCAGTAATTTGCTGACAAGGAGATCCAAGGCAGCTGTAATGGAAATTGGTGTAAAGTATTGTGAAATTGCAGCCTTAGCATGAAAAGCTGCTGGGATGCCCTCGATTGCACACTCCTACACAAGCACTAACTTGGACTGGAACACATTGTAAACAAATAGTAAGTAAATCAGGATACAGAAATCAGGGCTCAGCCTCGTCTATCTCGTGTGAGGTGTGGTTTGGCCCTTAGTCTTTGTAGTTGTAAATCCACCTGTTAAATCACAACTGAGTATAATTGGTGCTAGCTGGTACCAACTAGTTATACCGGTAAAGTGTTTTTGCTCTGCAACATAACCAGAATCACTTCTGTTATTGTTTAGCCTCTGTCCATGTTCCTATTCTTGTAGGGAAAAGCAAACCTGTTCTCTCGTGTTAAGGAACACAGTGTGTTTGCTGAAATTAAAAGAAATACACAGAACAGGAACCCCTCAAAACTTGGAAATCTTACCATTTGGGGAAGAAAAAATAAAACCAAAAAACCAAACAGAAACATTTAAAATTTGTGGTTAAAAAGACCAATATAATTGTCTGTTTGCAGAAAAGAAAGGATTTTGTCGTGTGAACCAGATACAGATTCACTCCTAGACCATGCATCATATCTGAGTAGTTTACTAAAATTGGAAGCAAATTTGTTTCAGAATTGTATAATAATTTCAGTGGAAGGGATCTGTGAAAGCGTTGGGTCCAACTCGTGCTGGAAATAGGTCCAGTAAGACCAGGATGCTTGGAGATTTGCACAAGCAAGCCCTGAATATACTGATGTTGGAGATTGTGCAGGTAACCTGTTGACCCTCCTCACAGAAGGAAAAGAGGAAATCCCGTGATCTAGACAAATTTTTCTTTGTTGCCATCTCTGATGGTTGCCCCTTGTCATTTTGTAGCACATCTCCAGGAAAAATCTGGCTCGGTTTTATCTCCACTCTGCCATTGGACTGTTGAAGATCACCATGAGATTACCCCTGCACTCTGGCATCCTAGACCAAACCCAGTGCTTTCAGCCTCCTGCTGTGTGCAGTCAGTGCTTGGAAAAATCCTAAAAATAGTGTGACATGGGAATTAGAAATGAGAAACATACACTGACATCCAAACTGGCCATTCCTCCTGGCAGTCTGAGGTGCTTACAGCTGCAGTGTGTAGGGATGGTCTATTAGCAAGTACCTTTATAACAACAATAGAAACCAGGTGAAGAAAAAGCCCTTCTGTAATGTGATTAAATGAACCTTAGAGAAAACTTCTCAACACTTACAGTGATGCCCACAAGACTAACCAGCTAAAGATTTGAATATATTTATTTCATGGTTCTCAACTACTGTGCATAGATGTTAATCACAGTACATGGCAATCACAGTTTTCTCTCTCCTACTACTAAAAGCTGTTCTTCTGAATTTACAGAACAAGTTAGTGTATGGAAAAGTTGCTTTGTGTGCAGCTCAGCTAACTGGGATGGTGGTGTTTGCGATAAGGACTCTTTCTTACTGATCCCTGAACTGTGACTTATTTGTGCATACCTGTGCCTGTTGGGGCTTTGGGAGCTGAGAATGTGCTTGTTAAATGAAGAGACTGATCTCTGCAGTGGCAACATATTGTTAACTTTTTGAAACTTAGTTTCATATATTCTGTATTCTTTGGACCTTATTCCCAATTCCTGCCATGCATAGTAGCAGGAATAGATACTCTCTTCCTGCTCTCACTAATGTATTGTACCTTGGGCTTTTTTTGTCTTTCTCTGCAGAAACTCTGCTGGATGACTTCCTGCTCACATACACAGTCTTCATGACGACCGATGACTTGTGCCAGGCACTTCTGAGGCAATATCCTTTTACTAAATGTTGTAGTCACTGGGGTCACACACTTTCTCCTAGTTTTGTCTATTGTTGAACCTTATATCAAAATTGCATGCCTGGTTTTGTTCTTTGCATATTACTGAAATACAGTCCTGCATGATTATTTTGAGGTTGCATAAAAAATTAGTAAGAAAAGAGAAAAATTGTCAAATATTTACTATAGCATGCTTAGAAAGTGGACTGCACTTGAGATTTTGACATCACAGCCCAAGAAATGCATGAACAAACTGGAGAAACTTCAGAAGAGAGCAATGGGAATTACCAGTATTCTAGAAAAAAGATCTACAAAGAAGACGTGAAAGAATCGGGATTGTTTTACTGAAAAAAGGGAATCTATATGTAACTGAGACAGTCTTTCAGGTACCTAAAGAGGAATAGAAGAATCTGTTCCCATATCAGTGCCAGATGGGACAAAAGGCAGTGGATATGAGTTCCCCTAATTTGCACATGCCTGTAACTAGGTATACACACACACATACACTTATTAAAATATTTAGAGTTTGCATAGCTGAGGAATCAATAAACAGAAAATTCCTGCACTGAAATCAAATATACAAAGGTAAAACTGCCTCTGAATAAACCTGTATTGAAGCAGATGCCTAACTCATAGCAACGATGCAATTTTTGTTTTTGTTTAAAGATAAATAAACTTTTATAACTGTGATGAGGTAACATTAAAGTGGGGTTAACACCTCTCCAGATTATGTTCATTCTTAGAATACCTACAAAGAGAAAAAGTATTTTCCAATCTCTGCTCCTTTTATCATGCAATACAGAATGTAAGTCTTAACTCATTCTGAGATAGAAGAATTATTTTCATGTATTTCCAATGATTTCCATAAGCTATGGAGCATTGCTTAAATAAAGTTGTGGCTATAAAATAAACTTTCTTTGCTTTTTTTCCCCCCTTCTTTACCTTTTGAGATGAAAGCATCATCTTTTTACCTCTTAAATGAAAGAATAGAGAAGGGATAGGAACAATGTACAAGTGGTTATTGTCTGTCATTTGGCATTTCTGCTTTGTGAATAGAGAACAGTGGTAGAAATAGTTGTTCACTCTTTTTTTATTTTAATAGTGTTATTTTTGCAGATACTGTAATTTGTGCAGACAAAAAGAAACTGACTTCCTTTGCTTGGTTTTTTTGTTATTGTTAACGATGCATTGCCCTCCTTCCCACAGACACTCACGTAGCTATCGATGTGCAGGACAAAGGTTCATTCTCAGTTCTGCAGAAAAGATATGACTCAACATTGTATAATTCCTTTTGAATTGATTTTATTTTTATAGAATCACCTCTCTAATTTGTAATGAAGAAAAATCCTGTTGGCACAGAGGATTAATTGGCACGTCTATTACTGAGAATTTCATTCCAAAAACTTGATGAAACTCCTGAAGCTCCAGACAGGATAAAACATTTAAAATGGAGCAATGTACTGAAAAAAAATCTTTCATTAGCAAATGAGATGATTGCAAAGTCTTTGCCATCAGTTAATTTTTAAGTTTATGTGAGACCTTATTATTCATTCCTTAACCTACTGCACCTATTGTGCTAAGAACCACCAAGGGAAAGAAGATGACTCTGATGTGTCCTGTAGGAAGCGGAAAGTCTTGCATTTGGTATCTCAGTGGACTTCTCTCTACAAAGACTGGTTACATGAAGATGAGCATTTAAAACAGTTTTTAAAGGTATCGAAACACTTTCTGATGCACTTCAGCACTGTTTAATTACTTACTGTGTCTAAAAAAACGCAGCAGAAAAATCTATAAAACATCTTTTTTCATACTTACATTTTTCCATGAAATCTATAATATAAAATGATTTGCATGTGGCTTCCTTAAATGCTTTAAAGATGGTCAGTTTGAACAGAAAACCTGTATTATCAATACATTCAATGTCAAAAACATTAACATATGAAACTTATAGAAATCCCATGATCTCTAGAAAATGGGAAAAGTTAAGAAGATAAGAAATAAAACTACCAAGATTTGGAGGTTCCTTGGACACACTGATCATGTCTGTCAGAACAGGATCTACAGTCAGTATCCAGAGGATCACAGACTAAGAATTCTCAGGTCTCTGTAAGAAATGCTACTTTGATTGAGCAGTGAAATTGTATTCCACAGTGTTTTGCTGAGTGCACATGGAGAGCAGCACAAATTTATGTCTTTTAATAAATAAAATTTTGTCCTTACTTGTTAGCAAAGATATTCTGATATTTCTGTATGAATTCCAAAAGCTCTTGTAATTCCCTTGTAAATTTGCAAATAGCCCATTGTTGCTGACCAACATCCATCTGGTTGTTGATTTTTTAAAAAATGTATTTTTTTTCCCTGCTGGTTAAAGATGAGAGTATTTTAGGAGACTTTGCAGGATCTTCCACTTTTCCTGATGAGGCTCTTTCTATGCAGATGGGGATCTTCCTAAGGGCCATGGAGGTGTGACTGTGCACTGTCACACAATTTCTCTTCTTGAAGCTTCTGTGCAATATTAATCAGCAGTAATGTTAACAATGGTTGCAGTTATACATGCAAAACCAGCGTCTAGGGTTGTAGGCTAAAATCATTCATGCAGAAATCTGTGAATATAGGAGTGTTAATTGGGCGATAGCAAACCTGATGACTCAGCTCGTACATATTTGTCATTTTCTTAGAAGAGAAAGAGAAGGATCTGTGTGCAAATTCTGAAAAAGTGTAGAGAAAATATTTCCTACAATTTCAATCATGACAATGCCTTCCCCCAAAATTAGAAGAAAGGTTTATTTATCTATTAGTTTATAACTAAGGAGAGTTCTTGGAGTTTGTGGAAGACATAACTCAGTTTAAAATGTATGCAAATGTGAGGAAAGGTGACGTAGAACATTTACCATTTTAAAAGTCTTAATCCAAGGAACCTGTTTATTATCATTTTGGATAAGTGAAGATGGTGTGGTGTGTTGTCTTGCTTCAGAATGTGTCCTTCTGACCCAACCCAGATTTTATGTAACAGCCACAAGTGGTGTTTTAAATTTTACCATTTGTAAAGAGGATAAACATTTTGGACTCTCACTTGGTGACAGTACTAAGAGTGTTTCTCCAAAGACAAGCTGAATATTGACCAGTCTGGAAATTTAAACAGGAACATTCTCTTCTTATGGGTTTTGCATAAATATAATGATGAAAGTTGTTTTAGTAGGCTAGTGCCTGAATTGATTTAGACTGCTGATGTGATGCCTTAGATTTATGTTTGAATCGTCAGACGTTTGCAGATACTGTTTTATTTTGTAGACAATATACAGAAATGTGCTAGATGATGTGTATGAATATCCCATTCTTGAGAAGGACCTGAAAGAATTTCAGAAGATACTTGGGATGCATCGCCGTCAGTAAGTATTGATTGTATTTGTGATCAAGTCTCCTTTTATTTAGAGTGTAATTTATTTTTGTCGCCGTCTTGGTGTAATTTAGTAAAGTGATGAGCGATACAAGTAACACATTCATTTTTATGAATAATCTCTTTTTTAAACTAAAGATAAATTATTCAGTTTTCTCTGATGTTTGTTGGGCTTCACTTCCATCAATTTTATTTGGGATTACTTTCAAGAAGAGCAATACTTTGTGGAGAAGCTGGCAAAAATTCCCTCAGAAGCTGCAGTCCGTGACTTCAGATGGTACCTTCATTCTCATTCTCTCTCTCTGCAGTTGGCAGTACTGAGAAGCAAATATCTTGTAATAGTCATCTCAGGGTTATTATTTTACTAATAATTATGGTATTTATAAAAGATCTTTCCTTGGCATTTTTTTACAACAAAGGAGTTTGTTTCCATGATTTGGCCATTGGGGAAGCAGAAGGATCTGTGTCCTTGAGGGTGACCCTGACTGCTTACCTTGGGGCCTGAGCTGTGTTTGTCTACTCCAACAGCTCGTGGGCTGACAGCATTGCTTTTCACTATATCAATTGTGCAAGTCAAAGAAAAGCTTTCTGGCTGAGCCAGATGCCTTTAGTTTTTCCTGAAGGAGCTCTGCAGCCCTTCTGCAGTGACCATTTAGTGTTAAAAACTTTCTGATGTTGTAAACTTTGTAATAGCTAAAACTTCCTTTTCCTAAGCTTTGGCTGGAAAGAATAATTTGGATTTTCCTTTTTGTTTCAGCACTGTAGATGAGTATTCACCTCATCGAAAGGTAATGCCAACCTGATTGTTGCTGGTTGCTAGATAACCTACCATCTCACTTTCTTCCCCTTTGCCCACTTCCCTCTCTTTTCTTGGCTTCTTAACTGAAAGTGACTAGTGGCCAAAAACATGACAGGACACATCAGTGAGGTTAGACCTGCAATGCTGCTTAAGGAACTTTTTTTCTTGTCAGTGCATGGTGGTCTAGTGGTTAGGTTGCAGCACTCTCACCACTGCGACCCGGGTTCGATTCCAGGCCAGGGAAAAACTCCCCTGGGCAGATGGAGCTCGTCAGCTCTGTAAGGCCATCCATCTAAGAGAAGGTCACTCTAAACAAACCTGCGTCCTGAGGACCTCACTGCCACTGTCCAAGCTCGCTCGGCCCCGGCAGATGAACCTCAGGATTAAAGGGTGGGCTTAGTTCAGCGCACACTGTGTCTCACCTAAAAAACCCACTGCACAGGCTCAAAGGGTTAATGACCTTTCCCAAATCTTCGCTCGCGAAGAATCCTGGATATCAACTGTGTGAGCTAACCTGCAGTGGCTGTGACAATGTTAGCATCTTAACAAGATGCTTTGAGATGTCTAAATTCTCAGGTCCAGAGGTCCAGGAGTGTGTCCCCACCAAGCTGGAGAGATGTAGCAACCTGGGCAAACCAGGCTGAGCACAGGCACTGTCACACATCCATTGACATGGATGTCAAGTAAGCAGAGCAAAGGGCAGATTTGTGACAGGGACAGAGAAAAAGAGAGGAACATGAATCTGTCCATTTAACTGAAGGAAGGAGATGCAGCCAAAGCTGGTGTACAAACTTCTCAGAGGTGAATTGCTGTGCTTGTCAATTTTACCGCACTGAGGCTGAAGTGTGTAATAAGCTTAAAATGTTACTGCAAAAATGTGGAAGGCAGAACATGAGATTGTAGTGAAATTGCTAAGTAGGCTGATTGGTACATGAGAAACATATATAAGAATAAGTGTATTAGAAACAGGCTTTGAACATGAGTACAGAAAATCTTGAATCGTGCAGGCTGCTTAGCCTTAGCATGTCCTGCTTCCTGCAAAATCTCCACCTTGGTCATTATTTAGTAAGGCAATTCCCAGTATACTGGTCCAAGAAAGGGTGGGTGGATTTCCTATATGGGAACCTTTTGGCCAGACATATGGGTTGCATGCTGTGTTCTGTGAATTACTGCTTTGTAAAGGGCAGGGATGCAAAAAGTCGCTGTTGTGATTTTTTTCTTTCTTTCTTTCCTACTCCCTCACAGAATAAAACCTTTTTCCACCAGTTCAGTGTAAAGGAGAACTGGCTGCAGCACAGAGGAACCATGAATGAAATAGAAGAGAGTGAGTATAAATGAAAAAGTGGAGGACAAACTCAAAAACTATGAAATTGTTTCTCAAGGGCCTCAATGTAAATATTTTATAACTGACAGACAGCTTTTCTGCTGGACCTTAGAGACACAAAAGAAGAAATATTATGGCTGTGTAAGTTTAACTTTCTGCCTCCTGCTTTGCAGTGGTAAACAGTGCTATGGTATCTCAAGGGGGTTTTGCTCTGCCTGGTTCCTCCAGCACCCCTGTTCCAGAGCTGTGTGCCTCCCAGGCTTGCTGGCAGCCCGTCCAGGTGTTATTTCTGCTCCATTTCATGCTCTCGGTCCCTTGACCTATATCTTGGTTGTGAAAGGTGCATGTGTAGGCCTGTCACATGTAATGGGCCAGGATCTACTAACTCTGGGAACGTCCCTTAGTTCCTTCTCTCCTTGAAAACATCTCTGATTGGAGTGCAAGGTGCCACTTCACTTTAATGTCAGCCATTTCCATCCATCACTACTAATACTATAACACAGTGAGGCTGTCACCCTCCTCTAATGCCTGTATGAGGAAGAAGGCAGAGAGGAGAACACTCTGTACACGAGCAGGGAACAGGCAGAAGGACCTCCTACCTGGCAGTCTCACCCTTTGACAGTATATCTTTGTTTCCTACTGGGAACAAAACCCTGGAAGTTCACTTGAAGTCAGTATATTTTTAGTGCTCATTTGTAACAGAATAAAAACTGAGCTCCTTCAATGCCAAGTCTTTCCGCACAGTGCGTGTTGCTGATAGATAATTCTCTTTTTCTGTTTCAAATATAGGGGGTTTTGAGGTTTATGTTATCAAGGCTGCTTCTAAAAATGTTATTTCTGGATGAGAACCCCCACAGTCATTCTTCTTAAAAGTTGGACATAGCTTTGGGGTGATTGGGAAGGAGAGTGTACTGGCTCCAGAGAGGGGACAGGCTGTGTGACTGGGGACAAGAAAGGCAGGGCCCAACAAAGCCAGTTGTGACTGGTTAAATTGCTTTTGTCTCAGTCCTCTGAGTCCTTGAGTCCTTGAGAACAGTCCTTGAGATCATGGACTATGATGGGAGTGAAGGAATGAAATAGCAAACATGAAATTGGAGAAGGGAGAGACAGATGCTGAGGTTGGACGACCAAGCCTGTGTGGTGGAGCGCTGCCCGACCAGTGGTGCTTGTGGAGGATGGATGTGTCCAAGCCACACCATGCCACTTGACCAGAGGCATTTTATCCCCTAATGAAATCATTACCAGGGAGGCTTGCAGTCCATGACCACTTCCTCCCACTCGCATTCCCTCCTTCTCACAGGGGAGCAACATAGGCTCCTGAAAAAGATGGCATGGTCCATCCCAATAGACACCACAGATAAAACTTTGGAAAGGTGTGAGGGGACAATCATTATGGTGGTTGTGCTCAAGGACCTGACCTGTGGGTTGATTTAGTTCAATATTGAAGAAAGGATAGATCAATAGCCCTTTTATAAATTAACATTTCTGTCATTGTCTCTTTGCAAATGAAAGAGAAGGACATTTCAAACAAATTAACTGTAAGCAAGTTGTGTCTCTTTCTGCATAGGAGTCCAAATATTCCTGTCAGATTTTTTAAAATTTATTTTTCTACCTAGTAATTTAAAGTGCAGTTGGATGTCTCTGTCTTCATGAGTTGTATCCACTCTGAAGAGAGATTCTGCTGTAGGATGAGCATCCGATTCACTGTCGCCAGTGAATTATAAAATCAAATGACTTTTCTTCCCCAAGGCTCAATGTTAAGTTCCTCCTTCATTCTCATCTTCATTTTTGTTTTACTACAACAGAAAAAAAAGATATTTTTGAGGATAGAGTTCTTAACTGCTTCTGGCATGGCTTCCTTTAGTGAAGGTACCCTGAAGCCATGAAGATTTGTAGGACAAACAAAGAGCTATTGCTCCATACATCTGTCAATAAAACTAATTTTAAAAAATACAGCATTTCTGACGAAGAAAAGTTTTATCCTATACTGGCATGGTAGCAGACTGTTTACAATAAGAAGTGCACGAGTAGAAGGAAATGGAAAGTTTAATTAAGCACCGAAGTGAGTATGAAACCAAGAGCTGTGATGATTCTGATTAGCAGATGTTGTAATTTTTGAAATATTTATACAAATCTGCAGGTCTGTTTCTTCCCCTTTAAGCATGGCAGCTGTATTTCAAAGAACTAGCTACAGCAAATTTGGCAAAATACGTAAGCCTAAAATTCTGGCAAGCAGAGAAAGAGTGCTTCCCTTTTGTAGCAGAAAAAAACAACTAGCTGAGCTGACCACTGTATTACTGCTAGGAATCTCCCTCTCAGAGCCAAACTAACTCATGGACCTCAGTGGAAGAGATGAGCCCGGGGATTTTCTGCAAACCAGTTGCTTTTATGTGTGCTGCAAGTGATTCAGGAAAAGAATTGTCAGAATTAAATGCATTGCTGTTTGGGCAGCCTCTGCTGCTGCTACCATATTCTGGCAATGCAAGTAGTTTAGATGTGTAGACAGATAAGCTATCAGGAGTGGTTGAATACCGGGGAGCACTGTTCTTGCTAAGCCTCCTGTTCCAGGTGGAAGTGGAGGTCCAAGATAATTTCTGCAGCAGATATGAAATGTACTGAAAGGACAGTGTTTTATCTGAACTGAAAAGGAAGGGGGAAAAGATGGTGACAGATGGGTTTACAAGGAAGATAGGCAGTGATGGAGGTTGTCTGTGACAAATCCTCACAGTAGGAGGTCTTAAATAGATATTGCTGTGGGAGTCTAGGTTTCCATCTGTTTGACTCTCTCATTTCCCAGGGAGAGGAGGTGGGAAGGGGAAAAATGGTGACGTTTATTCTTAGTTTCATGTCCTGCATCTCAGGGTGCAGCAGCTGCCCTTCCTGCAGCTGCAGCAGCCACACAGCTGAGGCATTGCCATGGTCAGGTCTGCTGAGCATGTCTTTCTTCCTTTGTGCAGTTTTCTGCCGTGTGTATATAACGGAGCACTCCTATGTCAGTGTGAAAGCTCAAGTATGCACTTCAGCTCAGGAGATACTGAAGATTGTGGCAGAAAAGATCCAGTACCCGGAGGAGGAGTTGGCACTGGTGACTGTCGCGTTCTCTGGTGGTAAATAGCTTCCCTTCATCGGATTAATTACTTTTTAGTGCATCACGTAAGGGAGAGCTGACATTTTCTGATGCAAGGATGCAGCTGTTTCTGTATGGGCCCACAGCTGGATGACCACGATGAACAATGAGGAACTCCTTCCCAGAGAGTTGTTTCCATGGCAACAGCTCATTCTTGGGTACCGTGGGATACGCATCTCCTGACTGGGAAAGGGAGTGTAAAGAACTCTGTCTCCAGCAGTATTGCAAGGTTTTATTTTTTCTCCACAGCTGAATCTCCTACTTTGGACTTTAAATTAATTTTGAAGGCAATGAACATGGTTTACTTTAAAAATATGAAAGGGAATAGCAAATACTATATGCGTGTCTGCTTCCTCATTTACAGCATGAGTGACAAATATTATCCAGCAGAAAGGAGGAAGACATAGATTTGCATAGTTGAGATGCTGAGAGCAATCTCAGCAATATTTTGTAAGCAGTCTTCCTTACAACTGACATCTTTTACCTATTGTTTTAATGTTAGTTGAACAGATGGACTTATTGTCTTTTTTAAGGAAGACTAGACTGATCATGGGCTGATAGTAGGGACCAGAGAAACCCCCAAGATTTTCTTTGGTGATTGGCAAGTCTCAATCTCATTGGTCATATTGTTTTACTTATTGTGGTGTCTTTCAGAAGCACTTTAAGTAGGTACATAGAAATGCAAAGCTGTATCTATAGAAAGAATTAAGAGAGTAGAATATCCTGGCCATATTCTCAGCTAACATTAGCTGGTGTTGATCCCCTGAGACAAAGGATGCACCTTTAGATTTCTAGCACTCATTGCTACTTCTTTGTCAGTCTAGTTAAATGAAATACACTCAAATGCTGGCTTGTCCTGTTTATTTATTCAACTCAGAAGTGGAAGGTCACATTTTTCTCCCCCATGCTGAGCTCAATTAAGTAATCATATTTTTGAGGGCACTGATGTGCGTGGCAGGGAGCTGGTGCCCTGCTCTGGGTATTGAGAGCCTTGGTATGGAGCAGCCATACGGGAGCATTACACATAGGTGTCATGGTCAGCCAGGCTACATTATTTCCAGGCATACTCTTTTTACCCTCATGTGTACCCAAACTTGCCTCCAGTGCATTTCACAGCACTGCAAAATCACTGTGCTGCTGTTGTTTTTCAGGTCTTGCTCTCCTGTTCAAGAGCAGGGCAAGTTTTGCTCTGATAGCAATAGATCTGGTGCTAACTGTTTGCTTAGCTAAAGAAAACCAACAATTCATAAATAATGAAACACACTATTATCTTTAGACCACATTGGTTCCTGGAAAACAATAATTAAAATGAAGGTACAGTTGGACTGTCATTTGTACATGACCACTGTAACCCCTAAAATGTTATTTAACCACTTTGCCTAAATTAATTTGAAATGCAACAGTTTCAGTGTCTTTCTTCTTATGTGTTGTGACTCCTGTGCTGTGAGTAACAAACACCAACCTGGCATTTTTTTTTTTTTGCTTTGTTTTTTTGCTATTTGTGTGACTCAGAACTCTTGTCTTCTGTCCACTTTTTGCTTTGTTTTTTTGCTATTTGTGTGACTCAGAACTCTTGTCTTCTGTCCACTTAGAGGGCAGCAGTGTGAGCATTGGAGAACTCATTTTTTTTGTACTCCACTAATGGATGAGCAAGCTCTTTATTCAAAATTACCTTGAAAAATATAATGGTAATTCAACATCAATGTGTCTGTTTATCAATGTGAGCATGGATAAGAGGGCAAACTATATGAAATTGTGTTTGGCACTCAGACTCCTCCTAGTCCTACTGCTCCCTTATGGGCAATGCAAAGTCCAAGGTAGCTGTCAACATGTTTTTAGTGTTGATGGGTCTACCATGTGTCAGGTCTCCAGAGGATTATTTGGAGCCCTCAGGAGGAGACAGTTTTCCTAGGGCAGTTTTTAAGCAGTGTTTTGGGGTTTGCTTTATTTTCCCCCATATCTTTCTCCAGTGCATCCAAGATAGCCCAGAGCTAAATCAGTACTCTGAACTGGAGAAAAAGAAGTCCTTTCTCTTTGCTATCAGTGTGGTGTGTCCTGCTCTTTTACTCATGTTTCCCACATTAATTATTCTGGGTCTAGAAGAATTTCTGTAAATATTGAGTTATAAAAGACTCTTCAGCTCTGCTCCGTGGGGTGAATTTAATGGTGTTGGTATCCTTTAAAGTTCTTTTCCTGTTGATGAGCTGTGGCTACTGCTGACATCTCCACCTCTGGTTTTGTCTGCCAGTGACATGCAACAGCTCGGTCTCTGGAGGCTGAGATGCTCTGCTCGGAAAAAATTACTATATTTACAGTAGATACACTGTGTTGCAATGAAATGTTCTATAAGGCACAGGAGGTTAGAGTAGATGATTTAAGGGTTTATTTCTGTTCTATCCTATGTGAAGTGCAGGTTGAAAGCAGAAGCAGGAAGTTTTTGTGCTCTAGTCTATCAGAGACATCTTGCCTTTATTGTGACTGAACAGGGTGGAGGTGATGGCTCCCACTGGGACTGAATTTGATGCTATTACCTTCTTAGAAATTGATGTGGTTTTACAAATATAATTGTACCTTTTTTCTCACTTATAGCTTTTACTCCTGTTCTGAAACTTTTGTGTTTTGTTTGCTGTTTTTACAGAAAAACAAGAACTACAACCAAATGACTTGGCTATCTCAAAATCTTTGGAGTCATCCAGTCGTATGTTTGTCTACCGAAAAGATCTAACTGATTCTTTGGTAAGGATCAGTATTCTATACTTCCCATTTTTTATTTGTCTGACTCCAAATTATGAACTTAATATTCCTCTCAGAGGGCTTTTTCAATGCAGAATTTATTTCTTGCTTCCTTAGTAAAGCTTACTGAGCTGTTCTACACCTAAAAAAAAAATCTGTCATTGACAGAAGTTATTTGACTGAACAGTAATGGAATTTGTTCATCAGTTTCAAATAGACCAAAGCTTCTGTACAGCTTAAATCTTTCAATCTACATCAGCCTGGAAAAGCTGACTTTGTACAGAAATGGATGGGATGAGGATTATTCAGGGCTCTTGTGACTTTTCCCCCCCACCCCGCCTTGTGCCTCTGTAACACTTAAAGTGGCTGGTACACAATCATACAAAGTGGTGGGCAAAGTCCATGGAATTACATGTAGAAATGGATGCTGTGTGAGTTCCACCAAAATTATTTGGTGTCAGTGTGACTCCAGTGTTGTGGCAGCCACATGGTCAGTCTGTGGCTGGCATATATTGCTGGTGGTGTGTCCTCTTCCTTCTGTCTGTCTGTCTCTCTGGGGAGGGGAATGGGTTGGGAGGAAGCAGGTCTCTTTCATCCTTCCCTCTGTCTTCAGAAACAGGGATTGCAAACTCTCTCTCTGCTATGATTTCCCAAAACCCTAGTGAGGCAGGCACAGTCAGGCACTGAGAGAATTACTCTTTCAATAGCTTTCTGCTAATTATGCAGGCATTTCAAGGAAAGAGCAGGAACTGTATCACAACTGACTGTTATGTGTTGTCAGTAGCTCTAGGATCTGTGCATTCATCCTCAGGATGAGAAATGTCTATTTACATTTTGTTGGATCAATGTGCCCCGAAGAGCTGACATTCCGCTATCATTGTAATCTGTCATCCCCATTATCACCAGCGTTCAAGCCACTTCTGAAAATGTGAATATTAAGGGAACGTTTCCAGTGCAGACAGGTGACAGCCAACCTAGTTTCATTAGCTATGTAATAAAAATTGCAAAACTTGCTGTAACTGTCAGAAATGTAGCACCAAAGTAATGGCTTAACCGATAAGAACAATTTTTCATGTTGGCAGATGGTTCGTGTGCCAAGTTTCAGCCCGATGAGGTTAAAAAACCCAAGAGAAATGCAAAACTTTGAAAATCCAAGCTAATAATGGAAATGTCAAATGACCCTGAACACCAGTAGTACCACTGCTCTCCACAGTAATACACTAAGTAACTTTGATGAATCGGGACACACAGTGTTTTTATTCTTTGTTGATTATATTTGGCATAGATTAATCATAAAATGTATGGATTTATGTTATTTGTAAAAGTGGATTGGAGGGCAAGTTCTGTGTATTTATTCTAAATCTGATGTGTTTGCAGAATGATTCTTTTATCTTATAATTCAAAATTTCCTGGTGTCTGAATTCAGATTTTATTTTCTGATGTTTTCAGGGATTTTACTTTCATTATGCTGTCTGCTTGGTCAGTTTTTTATATTCAAGGTTTAGAGAAAGAGGGAGAAGGAGAAGGCTTTCCTCTCCAATAGCAAACCATTGATCCTATTGACCCATTTCCCAAGCTGTTTTTGATTAGTGGGAAAAAAAACCCTTAAAGTGTACTTAGAGAAGATGACTTATTCGGCTCTGTTTGGTACCTTAGTCCAATAGCAATTTCATTGCAGAACTTTTGGCATTTCCTGAGGATTTTTTTGCTCTTGGCTGTTTATTTAGAATCCATTTGCTGAAAATGAGGAATTGCAGCAAAGGTCTGTGAGGATTTTGGGAATCAACACCTGGGATCTTGCATTAGAATTGACAAATTTTGACTGGAGCCTCTTCAATGCAATTCATGAGGTAAGAAGCACCTCGTCCACTTCCAGGTATATTACTCTCATAACAACATGATTTGGCAGCTGTCAGTAGTGGTGGGTGGTCCAAGACATGTGTTGCAATCCTTGATAGTGAAGAAAATTGTCAAAGGTTTTTAACTTTCCTGTATTGTGGCATTTCATATATTCACTGGTATACCTGGTGCATTTTATTGGATTTGCCTCAAGAGAGTAAAAGACCATGATTATTCTTCAAAAAACGGTCTGTCTGAATATGTTGTATATGCAAAATGTCTTATGCACTTCATAGTGTTTCAGTACATACAGGACTCCACAAATAGTTGTCTTAGATACCACTTTATCCACAAAAGAATTGACAGTTTCAGCATTTTAGGTGGTCATGTCACTGTTCTTGTTAGGCTTCGGTGAGATGAAAAATACTGGGCAGGCTGTACTAAAGAGCTAATGGCCCACTTCAGGGCCCATTGGATTGTTTCAGTGACTTTGATAGGTTTTGGTGTGAGCTGCTGAGTAAAATACACAGTTAATAGTAAAAAATGTCACTTGAAAATATCATTCACTGAAAAGTGTGTGGGTTTTCTGACAAAATGAATGGAAAATTCCCTTGCTTCTCATCGGATGCTTTCCATGATCTTTTATTTCAGGTTCTTTTATTCAGGTTAGACACTTCAAATTTGGAGCAGGCCAAATCTGGGGGTTTTTTGCACAGAAATGAAGACCCCCACCTCTGTTGATGAAAAATTGGCTAATTTGGAAAAAAATTTGAATGGAAATTTTTCAGATTCTACAATGATCTGATATGGATACTTTTTCATACTGTAACAGAAGTAGTGAAATACAGAAAAAGATTGTTTATGTCTTATACCTGGCTGTAGCCAGAAGTGGAATTGCAGGAAATCTTACAAGAAAAGCGTATATTGCAGGACTTCCAGTCCACCTGCCGTCTGTAATAAGTCTCTAGACTTTGCTAAGACAAACCTTAATCATTTGTGATTGGCTCATGGATAATGAAAAAATAGTCATTTGTGACCAGATCTTGTTTCAAAAACGTGCTTCTAAATAATTTATAGTTCATTTACATTTAAATTGTTTTTATATCCCTAATAATGCTGTCAATATCTTCCAGCAAGAGCTGATATACTTCACATTCAGCAGACAGGGCAATGCTGAAAACACTGAGAATCTCAGTCTTCTGCTTCAAAGATGCAACGAGGTCCAGCTTTGGGTTGCCACCGAGATACTCCTCTGTAACCAGCTCTGCAAACGTGTGCAGCTAGTCAAAAAGTTCATCAAGATTGCTGCCCAGTAAGTTACTAAAGTTGCAACAAAAATCCTTGAATCCACATGCTTTATTTGGGGAGGGGTAGGTGCAAAAGCAATGAAAGAAAACTAATTTGTCATCCTGTGTTTTGTTAGTGTAGTAAGCATACCTAGATAAAACAGTCCATAAATAACAGTAGCAATCACTGGGCAAAACTAGACCTGGTAGAGTATATGCTGCTCAAAGCTTTCCCTGCAGTTTAGCTGCTGTATCTGCAGTGTCAACTGCAACATCCCTGGTGGTGCAGAGATAGCTCCTTTCTTAGCTGAGATAACCTGAGGACCATTTGACAGAACTATTTGAGCTGCAAAACAGTCATTTACTAAAAACTACCTGGAAACCAAAAAAAACTGCTATCAACTTGAAAGCCCTACCTCTAAACTTAACTGCAGTAAGCTGGCTGCTACAAAGGGGCATTCCCTTCATAACCCTTCTAATCTTCTCTGGAATACTTTTATATATTGGAGGGGTGGGTTTCTTTATTGATTAGATTTGACAGTCTATTCTTCCACTGGTATTGAATAGTACTATACCTTGCAACAGAATACAAATATATACTATTCACAGAGAGTTCTTTTCTCTGTAATCACTCTGTCTTAGTAACCAAGGAAATGGAGCAATTTAACTATGTGCAACCATCCTCACTTCTCTCTCCACTTGCTGGACTTCTACAATATTTGAGTATGCATGTTCATGGAAAATGTATAATTTGTTCCCTTCATCGACTGGTTTGATTTAATTTGCAAGGCACTTACATACAAAGGACTGTTCTCTGCCGAAGCAGTGCCATTGAAGAAATTAATTCTTCTAATCTAATCTAGTGTAACTCATAAATGTGATCTGATTTAGTTTGCAAGTTGTATAGTATCCAGTAATATGTTCATTTTCTACCATATCGATGGGCAAGTTTGATCCAATTACATCAAAAACCAGTTGGTTCTGTGTGCCTTGCTTGCACCACAGTAGCATTAATTTGCATCCCAGGAAAAATTTCATGTCTGTCCCACATGAATAAGGACATATTTGTCACCAGACTAAAATGTTGCTCTATTTGAATTGATTCCATCCGGTTATGTGAAAAGCCAAAGTTATGGATACTAAATACAGTTGTCAGTAAATGGTAGACAGGGTCTCCCAGTGTATAGCAGAAGCAGCCATCATTGTAGCATGTAGATGATAAAATGAGTGTGTAGTTTTCTTGGGATTTTTTTTTAATCAGAAAAGCTGCTTTCTAAAAGAACACATCATTTCTCATCAGTTCTGGAAGAGTTGATGAAAGAGGAACAATTAGGGTGGAAGGATGGTGTGCTAAGCACAGGACTCTCATCCTGAGGCACAAGCCAAGCAGCCCTGCTGTTTTGTTTATGACTTAAGGCAGAGAGGTAGGGAGCTGTGAACAGCTTTGGCTGCTCCCTAATCTCTGCTCCTAGATTCAGCCAGGAAGCTTTGTCTATGATTTTCCTCCTGTCAGGAGAGCACCAGGACTAAGATTTCATGTTCAACATCTGTGTGCTTCGCTGTTCAGGAATGCCTGAAGAAAATGGAAGGCTTTTACTCGAGTGTGTCAATACATAAAAGGAAGACAAAGTTTTTGAAACACAAATGCATATGCTTTTGTTGATGAGTAGTCTAAAAGAGAAAACAAATGATTCATTAAAGAAAATTAATTAGCATGTTATTAGAAATTAATATCCTGAGGAGTTACAGAAACAAGTCAATGTAGGGTCATAATAAACAGATGACAACAGCAGCCTTCTTGCTCCCCAAGCAGTGGCTCACTGTAAAAGAAAATACCTTCTCTCTACAGCTTGCTGTGAGAACTGGGCCCACCCAACAGACAGTTTATGCAGGCTGCATTGGACACCTTCCTTGTTTTGAAATGAATTGTCTTTGGGAGCTGTGTGACTTTAATGATAAAAGGACTCTAAGCAACAAAGTTAGGATTAACTTTAAGACAGCTGAAGTGAAGTGAGAAATACACCATCTCAAGATAGTATACAGTGATAAGTGCAGGCTTTATAAAACTTGTAACAAGTGCTGGTGATTTTCCAGGCTAAGGCCTTGGCATGTACTTTTCCCTGATGATAAATCCCAGTGGAGACAGTGAATTCATTGGTACTTAAAATTATCCTAAAAGAGGATTCTCACTCTCACATGCAAATGCGCATGTATATTTATAGTGGTCTTGAAAAATCTGCATGAGAAGGGGGAATCTTTTTGTTTGAAAAGGACTCAATGCTTCAGGATTTCAAATTTCCTAATGGACTAGAAAATGGACTAGAAATAAGCATGGTCTAATTGTATATAGTAAAATGTCAAAGAATAGAGGTATCAAGGAAATTCCGTAGGGACCTGTACTGGAACCAGTACTAGCCACAACTAGTTTAGAGGGATATGTAAATTGAACATTAATCAGATTTTCAGACAATAAAAATGATGAAGGATTGCAAATGCATTGGAGGATAGGAGAAAAAAAAGAATTGTCTAAGGAGTCTAGTGGCATGTGCAAACAACAGTAGGATAAGATTTAATTTAGATAGATGCCAAGTAATTCAGCTACGGAATGCTAATACTGAGCTGAAGAAATAAATGCATGATTGTAAAGAACAGTACTCTGACAGAAGTCCTTGGGTGATAATAGATGACAAATTAAAAGGACAAAATGTGATGGTGTTTCAAATAAATAATTTGCTGTTTGTTTTATGCTTGCATAAGAGAAAGGTATAAGAACTTCGAGCCAAAACAGTAATTATGTTTCTCCTTCCCTTCCCACTGTCTCACTACATGAGAAAGTAGTGAAGAAGGAAACACATAAGTTAAAATAAATTACAAAGAATTCAATGAAGGATAATAACAATATGGAAAAGCAGATTGCAGGCCAAGACCACAAAGAGAAATCGAACGAACCAGTAATGTACAATTTACGGAAAAGATTAAAAAGGGGAGGAAAATATTTATTATACAACAGAATAGAGGTCAGGGAATTATTCTGTATGGTAAAGGACAGCTGGGAGTAACTTGAACATTGAAAAGGGAAAATTACTTTTGACAGCAAAGGGAAAAAAATAACCTGCCAACAACAGGGTTGATGAAACACTAGAATGTTTTCTAAAAAACTTCCTAGAGACCCCATCACCTAGACTGCAGGTGGTTATGAGAGGACATTTAATGACTTCGTTATGTGGAAGATGATTGTATGTTAGTGCTGAGGGTTGAAATGAGACTCAGTAACCTAGGATACCTGTGCATTCCATTTATCTCTGATTCTGAGTACAAAAAAATCATATTTTTATTCCTCAGCTGTAAAGCCCAAAGAAATCTGAATTCATTCTTCGCTATTGTTATGGGTCTCAACACTGCATCTGTCAGCCGGCTGTCTCAGACCTGGGAGGTAAGACACATCTTTATATCTTTTAGACACCATCAAAACCATTTCTCACAAAGGTTGCATACTGGAGAATTACCTTCTCTTTCTAATTACTGGTTTTTTATGAAGAAATCAAACATAGAGTGAGTGTTGGTGGAAAAAATTCTCTGTGAACTGAAACCTTAGATATTAAAAAAACCCCTAAATGTGTCCTTCCAGAGTTTTAAATAAGAATAGAGCATGGAGATATTATCCTTTTAAAACAAAATAAGTCATGTAAATTATCTTACCATTTTAAGTATGTGTCAAAACAGAAAGTCTTGCAAAGGTGGCTCCAAACAAACAATACTTTCTTAGGGAATAATTTAATTTAAAAAATCCATTGACATTGAAATAAACCCTCTTTAATTCTCCTATATCAGCTCTTTTGCAGCTGCTCATCTTGAACAACAAAGTTAGGAAATAGGCCATGAATAAGGGGCATACTGGAGAACAGAGATTATTTGCTAAAGAAACTACCATTACTAGACAGGGCATGGGTGTGTTTAGAGGAGGATCCCACTGGGATCTGTATTTATATTGTGGCTTTTTCATTTCCATCCAAGTGGTATCCATATTGAGTCTCGGTATCCATACTGAGTCATAGTATCTGCAGGCTTACTGTGTATCTGCTGATGAACCAAAATTGGGAAAGAAGTAATTGAGTGTAATGGGATGAAGCCTTATCCCTCCTTCATGCCCCCAACACTACAAGTGGGCAGTATTGAAAAAATATCAATCTGTAATACAAAGTGAAGAGAAGGGCTGTGATCTTCTGCCTCAAAGACACTCTTGAGCACCAACGAATGAAACCAAATAGAAACCTAACACTGTCCAGAGCAGAGTCTTCCCCTTTAGCTGAAACTATGCCTATGGAAACATAACTCGTATGTCTGTGGCTTCAACACGCAGAGAAACAAGGACAGTGGCTGTTTACAGGAACTCAGATAGGCAAGTAAGAGCTAACTTTAAATAAGAGATAAAGTAAAAGTTTTAGAGAAAAATACGTACCTGAGAACGATGATACAGAAACTCCTTGTCTCTGATATTTCTGAAACACCTCTCTAGGGAACATTTGCCCTGGCCTGCTGTTACAGGTTGCCTTCATCCCATTTCTCTGGGCTTTGGTAGGAGAGTGGAAGAGACCAAATATTGTATCAAAGGCACCGAGTGGCAACAGTATAGATCTCTCCAGCACGGAGAAATGCAAAATTTGCTGTGTGCTGAGACCTCTGGAGCTCGTGCGCTACCGGTGGACTTCTCTCAGGAAGAACAGAATATGTTGCTTGTCGGAACAAAGAGTGCATCTGCATATGTATCATTGTAAATATGTCATGTTTCTGGGCGTAAAATATTTATGAAGTCATGCGCTTTTTTTTTTTATTATTCGTAAAACTTCATTGCACTGGAAATTTCAAAAGCAGAAGGTTATTTGCATTAGTAATGTGACTTCTAGAAAGTAGAGCAATGTTTATAAATTAATTATAATTACTTACACATGTAAATGAAACAACCTAAATTTAAGCAGCCATTAAGACACTAAATTATATTGGCTCCACACTTGAATTCTTAAACAAGTAGTATGCTCCCAAGCATTTTCTTCAACTTTTCTTTTTTACGGTATCCAGTGTTTTAATAAGTCTAACTTTCCCTGACTGAAGATATAAAAAAATGCAATTGCAATTCCATATGCAGTTATTTTAGCATTTTAGTCATACAGCACATCCACTTAATCTAATTGTTCTAAATCTCTTTTCTGTTGGTAGTGTTACTGGGGCTGTCAGGATCTAAGGACAAAGACCAGACAGGATTTGTACTAAGAGGGGATATCTTTTACTAGACTAACTAATATGGTTGGAAAAAAATAAACAGATTTTAAGGTACACACACCATTGCTCAAGTCCGAAATACCAGTAGCAAAATTCAAATTGTAGAACATTGTAGCGTGTAATAAGGTGAATCCGTTAAAACATCTTATAGAGAAAGGAAGTGGATGTTTGTGGAGTAGAGCAGGTGTGTTGGCATGTGGGGCAAGATGGTACTTTGTGTCTGGGCTCCCTTAGAAAGTTCTTTATGCACCTCCATGTGGGATTAGGATGAGATACCGGAGGTAATCAGTTTGTTAAGGAAAGTTCTCTCTCTTTGGCACTAGCATGTGGCAGTAACCCTGGTCAGCACTGGAGTGGTGTATCAAACAGCACTGAGTGATGGCTGTTAATTTCTAGAACCCATATTTTAGGGGAAGATTGATTACAGCAAATTATTTAACCTGGATGTGATCACAGTTCCTGAATTCTCAGCCTGTGTTACTGCTTCCAAGTAGATACGGATATTCAGATAACTGCAGCAGGCGTGGAAGGTAGGGAAGAAAATAAAACCGGAGCTAACAAGCAGTTTCCATAAAAGAAGGATGCAGGGTCCCCGAGGCAAAGCTGTGGGGCTCAGTGCCTCACTGGCATTGCACTGAACGTGGTCTGTAATTAGGGCTCTGGGAGCTGAGGAGCAGAGGTTAACTGCCTGTTGGTACTTTTAGCAGGCACTTCAGCCATGGCGGTCTCATGGAAAAAAAATGCCTCAGCATTTTTCTGCCTAAATCAACTTCTCTTTTTTTTTTTTTCCCCTTATCTGTTTTTCCCACTTCAGAAAATTCCTGGGAAGTTCAAGAAACTTTTCACTGAACTTGAAAGTTTGACAGTAAGTACCTCGCTGACAGCAGAAGAGCATTGCTTGCTTTACTTGCCTTCTTTCTTCCTAATTTATTGTCTTGAGCTGGAACTTGTCTTGTCAGATCCATGATTTGCCCAAGGCCACGTGGCTCTCCAGAGCTCAGAGGTGGTCTCCAAACACAAAAAGGAAGGAGGCTGTATTCCTGACAGTTGGAGGAAGGGCAGAGAGAGGCAAATGTAGTATCAGTTCCCCAGCTCTTCTTTTGCTCTGGTAGTTTATTAGCCTTTATCTGAAGCAACATGCTGCAAATCAGGAGAAAAAGAGGACAGCTGAAGTTTTTAAAAAAAAAAAGTCAAAATCTGAGGTAGAGGGTCTTTGTCAGCGTTATCAAAGCTAAATAAACAAATGTTTCCTCTGGCTGTCCTGGAAGTGAGTGGGTGGTGAGATCCCTGCCTGGAATGGGGAACATGAGATCCGGCCCTTAACAGCTGTCATGCTTCTATACTTGTAGTTTGTAGTAAATGAATGTGTTTTCAAGATTCTGTGTGAGCTGGTGTGCAAAAATATTCATTTATATCGGAAATTTAGATGAATTTTGAATTGCCTACACAATGCCACTGACACACACTCCCTTATTTTTTTATTTTATTTTTTTGTTGCTGTTTGGTAGTATTATTTTGGGGGTTTTTTTTAGAAGAAATTAATCAGCAATACATTCTGGGATACCTTTCATGCTGGATAGTAAGAGATTTTGCTAATAGAAATTTGTGGGGAAATTACAGAGCAGTCCAAGTGAATCTGTTCTGCAGCTTACTCCCATTTTAGCACTGCTTCATCTAGAGGAACATAATTGCTTTTGTTCCTTTCACTGTTTATGTTTCCTGTTCAGTTTAGCATGTCACCTAGCTTAGAAAACCTTGAGCTACCTTGTTTCCCAAAGAGATCTTTTATATCTAAATCATGTTCAGATCATAAGCCCATAATGGATTTAGAATTGCTCTTTTATAGCCTATTGATTTTTCTCTCTATTACTCAAATGGTTTTGTAGGACCCTTCTCTGAATCACAAAGCTTACAGAGATGCATTCAAGAAAATGAAATCTCCGAAAATCCCCTTCATGCCCTTACTTCTGAAAGGTAATGTTAAAGCTTGGCTGCTCTCTGTTGTCATTAATTAAAATAAGTGAAAGGTGATTTTTCCTTCAGGTGGTCTTAAGATACGTATGTGACAGATATAGTGGTATCTACAAGATAGCACTTGGTCTGGATAATAAACAACTTCCTTTTAAGACAGGAGGAAGATGGCAATTTTCACACAGGTTTTCAAACTTCATGTTGTCCTGTCAGGTGTGGATAGAGCCGTGTGCCACTGCTTTGGCCACGTCTTCTTCAGTGGAGAAGTGAGATCCTGCAAGCCCCCGAACGGAGCTGCACTGGGTGCACCTGCACCAGTGGCTTTGGTCATGCTGCTACTCTGACATGCCTGTTCAGAGGTGCTTCCCTGCTTCTCTTGGGTGAACCTACCTGGTGTCACCCTGAAGGCAGAACCTGCCCTGTCTGTCTGTCCTGAGAGGAGGGGATTTTCAAGTCTCTTGTAGATATGAAAGAGATAAATAAAAATCTTACTATCTAAAGTTATTTTTAAAAACAAAAATCTATTAAAAGAAGCTGCAACTACTTGCTAATGCAGTGAGCTGGGCAGCTAATTAAGTAGCAAGTGTTTAAAATTTTCCATTGTCTTAGGGTCATTAATTATTAACTGCCTTGTCTTTGAACATGGCAAATTCATTTGTTTATTCCTGTATTCTGAAAGCATTCTCTTTAGGCCATGTATCTCAGCCTGCTGTTGCTGCTGCTGTAAAATGTTTGCAGGCAGTTCTCCAGATCAGTTGGTGACAGATCGGGAGCCATCAGACACTTCCCCTCTTTGCACACATCAAAGCAGTTTGCATTAATTCAGATGGATACAATTATTAAGGCTTCAAAATCAATATTTTCCTGGTGTTCGGGAGTACGTCTTGACTGCAAACAAGGGCAGCAAACATAAACAAGTCACTTGTAGCAATGATGTCTGCACAGCACTACAGTATGGTGTATAAGAACATGCACCTAAGCAACTTCTCTGTTTTAGCATGTATTGGAGATAGCAAGGAGACTTTGAAATTATTGCAGTAATTTCCTTCAATACAGTGGTCCATAAGGAGATGTTGCCAAGGTTGGTAATTCCCAAAGTATTGCACAGTACAAAGGACTTTACTCCATATCAAACATCTTTGTATTAAGGTCATTTCCAAGACCAGTAAAATAGGCATGGATAGAATAGAAAACATTAGTAACTCAACAAATTACTGTATTTCAACACAAGAGGAACAAAAGTAGTTTCAATTAAAAAAATGAAGATTCTTCAATTATGAAAAATAACATCAGAGTGTCCTTTTAAAAGTTAATTAAATTTAAATGCAGAGCTCTCATAACATACAGATACAGCTTTTGAAAATCAGGCAGATTTTTCAAATGTGTAATAAAATACTGTGATATACCCTTACAACCTAGTTCAGACGCAATTTTCTGCTCCACTGAATTTATCTAGACTCTTAGTTGTTGGCTGCAAAGCAAATTTCTGTTCCTTCTGCCCTCAGAGATATACACGTTGCTTTCATTGACTTAAAAAGCTGTGTGGAATTTTCTGCTTCCAGTATAAGTTTTTCATTAGAAGTGATGGACAGTTTTTAACTGCATTGATATAGAGACAAGTAATGCCTGTATCCTGAAGTCGTATCCTTTCTGTGTCCCTTTCCCTGGGTGCCCCAAAGCAGCCCAGCAGAGGAGGTGTAGAGGGTCCTGCTCCCTCCTTTCCCCCTGATTTTTAGGATGCTGCACAGGGACAGAGAGGTGCTGGAGGCATCACCAGCATACGCTGTGCTTTCTGCATTTGCTCAGGAGGGCCGGCTGGACTCTCATGGCCAGGCTGGCATCTTGCCTGCCCCAGGCAGACCCCAGCCCAGCTGCCCTGGGGGCACAGGAGCTCTCCATCACCCCTCAGAAGAGTCCCAGCCCTGGGTTTCCACCAGCACATGAAGCCCTTAGCATTCCAATTCCAAGCAATTACAAAATGCCCTTCAGGCACAGAGTGAGTCTTTGAAACCCAAGGAAATAAATTAGGTGAGCTGTTTTGGGGGAGGGTGAAGGTAGGGGTGGGTGAAGAGTGTGTGTGTGTAGGGAGAGGGGAGGTGACAAAGCATCTTCCAGCATTTGCTGTGGGTTTCCAGTCCTAAAATCCCCCAAAACCACAAGGTCCATGTGGGCATCAGAGGGAGTACTGGGGATGAGCACAGAAGAAATGCTGCGATGCACAGACTGGTGGGCTGGAGGTTGGCACCTCTGTGCAGAGGGAGATGTCCTGTTTACTGTGTGCAATTCTTCTGCTGGCAGACACAGCTGTGACTTTTAAGAAGTAGTGATACTGGAGTGCCATCTCATTGCAATAGTGCTGACTCCTCCTGGCACTCCTGGATACCCACACATCCAGGAGAGAGCTGATAGGTGGTGGTGCTCCTGCTAGTATTTTCAGTAATCTGGAGATGTACTATTGGAGTCAGACCTTCCGTCCCCATGGGAGATCTATTCATGTTCTTTGTATTTCATGCCCAAGATAGTTCTGATTTCTGTCCTAATATGCATTAGAAAAACAGAGAAAATGACCTCCAGCTACTGTTGTAATTGTAGTGTTAACTTGGCAACATTTATTTTGCCTGATATTCCCCCCCCTCCAGTTCATTACACTGTGTTCAGTTCTCTTCCTGGAGTCAAATATAGACCTTTTCCTTTTCCTCTGACCTTTTTGTTGCCTTTGCAAATTCTCTCCCAACAACACTGCATACAAGTGTTTTTTCCTAGCCATAACACTTTGTTTTAGTGCCTTGTGTTTAACCTCTCTGGCTACCCACTGCTGTAGTGGGGAGGACTTCAGAGTCAGTGTCCCACAGAGAGAGATGAAGGGGTGTCAGAGCCAGCTCCAGCATCTGGTAGCTCTGCCCCCATGGAGCTCTCTGCCTCCATGGAGCTCTGGGCTCAGGGACTGACCAACTCCAGCCCAGGCACAGTCATGGGCAGCATATCTGGACCAGTACCGCGGTGTGTGGAGAGCAGCCATGCCCTGCAGGGCCATCCCTCTGGATGCCCTCCTGTGCTCCCAACCATCCCCTGTATGTTATGTACCCTGGAAGTAACACAGACCAGGTTTAATAAGAAATCCATGCTCCCTTTTGAAAATACTCTTGTTGCAATGTGTACCTAGTGTTGTTGTCTAATAATCTCTGCATGTCATCATTAAACCAGACTTTTGTTCCACTGTTATTAGGTATTTTGTCAATCTTTAATGGGATACTTTCCTTTTTTTCCTTTTTGTTGCTGTTTAGTCATTTTATTTCTTTGCATTAAACAACAAAACCATGAAAAGTAATTATTTTTCCTTTATTTTATTTTTCAGATGTAACATTCATCCATGAAGGAAATAAAACATTTCTGGATAACCTTGTTAATTTTGAAAAGCTGGTAAGCTAATTTTGTCCTTCCTGTTTTTCAAAAGAGTCACGTCCTATTCTTCCCTTTCCCTTCCTTATCTTGTAAGACTAAAAGGTTTTCTTTTGGATGAATCAGGAAGAAAAACGGATAAAAAAGAGCAAGCATGAGAAAACAGTCAACAGTCTATCTCCCCTGCCCTTTTCCTCTGCTCCTCTCTCTTCTCATTCTTTCCTCCTCCACTTCTCTGTAAAATGTCTAAGCCAGTAATGGCCATCACACAGTCCACTCATTTTTTTACTGAGTGAGATCAATTCCTTTGCACCACCTCGTGGACTATTTCTTATCAGTTAAGTTCTGCTTCAGCTTTCTCTGAATTATGTTTCATTCCTTTTTTTTCCTCAAGGCTTCTCTAGTCTCTCACTTAAGAAAAGGTTCCTCTGCTTTATCACCTGCCACTGATATGGTAATTGCAGGGATTTTGAATGAAAGAGAAGTTTTTTGATCTAGGTTAGATGATGAAGAAAATAATGCCTGAAATATGAATTAAACTGACTGTAAATACCACTATTTTAACTTTTATGCATAAGGGCACTTACTGACATTGTATCTTTGGCCACATTCACTCTAGACATCATATGACATCTACTCTGGCATAATATTACTGATAGAGGTTTGATTTCCCTAGTTTGCCTTTTTTTTTTTATATAATATTTTCACAGCACAAAGCCAAAATTTGTATATCTGAACAGTGATGGAGTAGAGAAGTTTGGATTTTTTTGGTGGTGAAGATGGTGGTGGTTTGTTTGGTTTGGTTTTTTTTGTTGGCCTGTAGTATTTGATCAAGAAACCAAAATGTTTTTTCCCAATTGCTCTAGACATGCCACAGGACAGATGGCTGTGCCTGGCGAATTCTTCCCAACTATTTTCTCCATGTGTTTACGCTTGTTTGAGAATGAACATGCAACCATGGAGTTATTCATGAACCAGATGTTGAACTTATTTTCACATCCTATCATAATGTACATTGTCTTTCAACTTACAAGCAGATGTAGAGTTTGACTTTTGAACCTGAGCTCCTTTTTTTTGTGTTTTCTATTTGATTTCTGTACCTTTTCTTGTTGCAGAATTTAGGAGAACACTGATTTGCATTTAACAAAGGGTTTTCTTGTCCCAAGTCCATTAACTATTTGACCTTTAGGTGTTTGCATAAAACTCATTAGCATGTTCTTCTTCATTGCCTCTTGGAAATACATCCAATTAACATGTAAATTAAACTAGCCCTTGATGCACAATAATTGTTACTAAAATCCCCCCACTGGCCCATATATTTGTTTAGTGAATATGTAGGATCTAATTCTTGTTTCAGTCTTAGCAGACCTTGTTTGTTTGTTTGTTTGTTGTTTAATCATGTATATGGTTAATGTATGCTGGGCTTGCTGGGTGAGAATTCCAGTCCTTCCTGTCACCATTGTGTCTCCAGAGGCAGTGAGAGCTTTGCTAATTGACTTCAGTGAGCCAGGATTTCACCTTTTCCATTCAAATGGATAATGGGCATTTTAAATGGCAGGGGGGAGAGTCTGAGGTGATGGTCGTGGGGTAAGGGTTATTCAGATTGACACTTCCTCCAAATTATTAGTCAGATCACGCTCTCGGAAATGAGCTGTCTCATGCAGCCCTGTGTACATATGAATGCAGGCAATAGTGCAAGCTTAGGAAGTAAGGGCTTAGGAGAGATTTAAATATCAGTGTAGTGGAAACTCAGGCAGTGCACTGGTATTACACTGGCTCATTTGAATGTTAAGGGATTTAGTCAGTGGGCATGAACTAACAAGATGCATCACACATTATCACATATACATCAGGCCATGTTTCTTTTCTAATTATAAGGGCTTTGTCCCAAAGAACAATGTCTTCCTTGGTATTCTGCACTGAACACTGAAGTGCTGAGCACTTTCTGGCCTTTGCTGAGAAAAATTAGGATTGACATTGACTCCTGCTGGGTTTGGATCAAGCCACTGAACCTCACCTGCAAATTTGCTGTTGCAGAAAAAGAATAAAAGAATTATTCTACCATAGCAGATTACTGCTTTGGGGAAGGAACTTACTGTTATGAATGAGTAGAGTTTCTACTTATGAATATCAACACAAAGATGGTTTCTTGTGTCTCTGTTTGGATCAGTATTTTGAAATATTTCATTTTTGCATTAAACATCTCGTCTGAAGAAGGACTTGTCAGTTTGAACCATTATTTTTTCCAACTATGTTAGTTGGTTTAATAAAAGATCTTATTTCTCCCTACAGTCCCCACTTCTTTTATATTCTTGGACCTCAACAACCCTACCATGACTGAATTTGATTTGACATGATGTGATTGCAGTGGAGACAAAGTTAATTCAAAATATAAAGAAGGAAATTTGCAAAGAGAAGAAAACGAAATGATCTTTTGTCTCAGGAATGTTACCTAGCTTTAGCAAAAAGTGAAGGATTGCTGTGGCTTATTTAACTCCATTTTGGGTAAAATCTAGTCTACAGGAGCATTAGATTGATTTTTGGTACCATACTTACTTCCTCAACTGAATCTGAAGGAATAAATGAAAATATGGTCTTATGCTGTTACATCTCAAGGTATTTCCATGGTATTTTCTGAGCTGCTTGGCCAGAAACCACCGAAAGGCGGTTTCTTCAGGTTTTTTTCTCCAGTCAGCCACCAGCCATATCTTAGCAATGACATATCTTATCCACACTTCAGCAAACTCTAATATAGGTCAGTGGCCATTACCATTTTTGATAGCACCAGCTTACCTAGCACCTTCATCTGTAAGGACTGTGTGCTGCAGCCCACCCCCGAATATCTATGCAACCCTCAAGCCTGAGTTTTTGCAGTTAAAGGTGTGTTACTCATCATCACACTAACAGTATGCATGCACCTGTTTAAACAGCCAGGAGATAGCATTTGCTTTGCAGATAAATTGGCTGATTTTCTGTATTACTTTTGGATCCCAGAGAGCTGAAAACAGAGAGAAATTCCTAATTAGGCTACTAAAGCCGGGAGATTTGGGATTCTGCTCGAAGTGTTCCACAGAGAGGTTCTTCCCTTACCAGAGCATCACCTCCGGAAGCTAATCTTGGGATGGACCCTCACACTGACTGACTACAAAGAAGAAACAGCAAAAAGTTACAGTGTGTGTGATAGTAGGGCCTCTCTTACTTCTAAAATCCAAATGCAAAGGGAAATGCCAGAAAACATCACAGTAGCAGCATTGGTGGAAGTTGTAGCTCTCCCAGTACTCACACTATTGATCAGGAAATCTAGATCATCTCATTAGAACTTCATTATAAACAGTGCAAGGACATCAGCACAAGAGATTCATGATTTCATGGCAAATGAATCACAGCGGGTAACAAGAAAAATTATTTTGATTCACTGATGAAAGGAATATGAAGTTTCCATTAAACGTGCTCTTGTGATAAGCTTTTCTGTGGAGAAGCCTTGTAAACCTCTCCCGGGGGTTGAGAGATGAGCTGTTTTGCATCGTTCTGGTCTTAAACATAGTCTGCTCGAGAGAGTTAATCCTTTCCACCTCTGATCATTTTTGAGGGAGATATGAGAAGAGCATTAGCTGTTTGCATGAGCTATCAGATCATGCCTGATAACTGCAATTTGCTCCAATTAATTACTAGATTTGGTGAAGAGTTGCCACAGAAGCAGTGAAATTAGGAAAAGTAATGGTTTAAGAACTTTATGGGTAGTATCTAGGGAAAATGAACTCACTCCACTGATTTGTAGTGAACAGTCCCAGTTTTTGTGAGTTGAAGACCTGAGCCTGAATGACAAACTGAACTTAAACCCTTTATTTCTTCTGTGTAATCTAAGTGAAGATCCAATATCCCTGTTAGCACCAGCTTTTGTTAAAATAGCATACCTACAGGATAGTCTTATTTGGTACATGCCTGCGGAGATGTCAGGGTGCTTGCTCTGCAGCATTTAGGTTACGGGCTGCTTTTTTTTTGTGCTGGTTATACTGCAGAAAACTGCCTAGCTGATACTGGTACCTGATTGTGCTAGGCATTATACAAGTATATGCCAAGGGGTGTAGTCTGTGCCACAAAGAGGCTTATAGTCTAATTATACGACGTGGAGACAGAAGGAGAGGTTGCAGACTACAGAATATCCTGGATAATGCACTAAAGCTGGGGTTGAGCTCTGAGGACTCACCCAGTCCACAGAACTTCCTTGCTGTAGGCTTTCAGTTTAATAAAAGTCACTGGAACAAAAATGAGCAATTGTTTGATTATTTTCCATGACCACTTCCCATGGGCTCTTAGAGAATTGTTCTCATTTAATCAGGGTGGTACCAAGAAGACATCTAGAGTAACCCTGTTTCATCAAATGGTATCACTAAGATAAAGAGCAAAGTTTCTCCTTCATTTTCTACCTTATTACAGTTTCTTTTGCTGTACAGTGTAGGGCAAGGAGATTTCTCAGGCTTTTCTAATGACAGAATCTGTCTCAGGTTTTCGCACTAAAGTTTTTTGCCTTTTCTTTGCAGCACATGATTGCAGACACTGTTCGGTCTTTGAGACATTGCAGAAATAACCAATTTGGTGAGTAGCCAAAACTTCCTACTTATTTTGCATTTGTACGCCCTTGAGGGCTTGTTGGTTGTTTTGTTTTGTTTTGGTGTTTTTCCTCTGTTTTCTTTTCAGTTGCTCATGTTTACTACAGCAGCAAAATGTGGACAACAATTATTTAACCAATTGGCAAGAGAGAGCATAGTTGTTGGAAGATCAGCATAACAGAAATGGATGCAGTTTTACTTTACAAAATGTTTGTAGAAACAGCTTCCAAACTTTAATAAATTATTTTCCTACAAAAATTACTACCTCTTCAAAACCCTGTGTAAGATCTGTGCCAGCTGTACTTAATAATGGAGGCCTCTGGTGTATGCTGCTGTTTCTCCCTATGACCAAGTTAACTCAATCTCCTGCCAGTTTGTGTGTTTTGGTAATGGATTCACAGCTGTCTTGGCTTCCAGTAGCTAAAAGATGGCATTAATCACCACAGCTTTTCACTTGGCTTTTCACCAAGAACAACTGTTTGCTTATTTTGGGTTCCTAATGTCATTTCACAAAATTGGAGAAGTCCAGAAGGTATGAAGATTCTGTGGGTTTCACAAAAGTGGAGTAGAAAGAAATGGGAGGTGTTGTGTTAGTACCTGTGCGAGGGGAAGCTGCAAATAAAAATCTGTCTGCTTTAGACACTGGAGGATCTATCTATGCTGATGGGAACAGTTGTGAGTGCCTCAGCTGCATAGAAGACTTCTTTTTGTTTGCTTTGTTTGTTTGGTTTTTTTGTTTTGTTTCTGCCTTGTTAGCCTCCAGAGAATCCAACCCTAAGGGACCAAGTCAGAAGAACCCAGCTTGTTTTGTTCCACTGCTCACAGAGGAGAAACCTCGTTTTCTCCTTCTCAGAGTTTCTTATTCTCTGCAGAGAGGTTAAATACAGGAAGGGGACAAAAGCAACACTACTTTAGGAAGTGGTTAGTTTTTAAGCCAAACCTAGTAAACATGTCATTTATTGAGGCCACTAAAACCTCTTTTTCAAAGACGAGTTCAGAACTGTGCTGCAGCCTTGGGGAAAACAGAGTCTGAATCATTTTTTTTTCCAGCTGAATTTTCAACAGCTGTCAGTATGGACTCCAGCAAAAAGAATAATAATCATTTTGTGTATAAATACAGGTACCTTGAGAATTATGGTTCCTGTATTATTTTGAGATATATGTATAAGAGAGGGAGAGAAGGAGCAAGATGTGCCTTGAGCCTTTTATTTTTTTTTCAGATAATGAAGGAAATATTGTTTAATCCAAACCATGCCCGTAAATTAAAATATCTCTTATTTGGCATTATAAAATGTAGCACTGGTTCCTTCTAATGGTGTGAGGGTTTTTTTGCACCTTCTCTGCACATCTTTCATCACATTTTTGCCTTTTCTTTTTCCAAGTGGTTTTCTAAGTCTTGCAGCAGAAATCCAAGGTTAATACCTGAGATTTACCATATAATCTGGTAGTTTGAAGTATGTGATTGTTATTTTATTTTGCTACAGACTTGATTTATTGTGGAGCTGGCATTTAAAAAGCAGCTTATACAGACATCCCTGTAGGCACTTTTTTTTTCTTAAATTCATTTAGGCATGAAATGAATTCACTGAATATTTATTGAGACTTTATGGACAGTTTCCTTTTCTAGTGGGCTTATTTTGCTCTCAGAAATGTGAGTCTTTCTACTGCATCAATTCCCAGATTGGCTTAAGAGCAGCAGGCATCTCACTGTAGGAAAGAATTCAAACAAAACTAAGCAAAGAATATTATTATTGTTTATGAACTGTATCATGTGTATTAAGCTTGCAGGCCAAAGTGTTTCTGGATTAGAAACTGGTTAGGTTCCAAGTAAGACTGAAATGCCTTTTTAATGGAAATAACATGTTTATGTCCTAAATGCTGAAAACAAATAATAGCATTTCTAAAGTGAGAAAAAACAGCCCTAGAAAATAACATAATTCAAGCTTTTGTCATTTGAGGTGTTAATGAGAAATACAAATGTTTTTCAGTATGTTCAGCACAGCTGCTGAGATCCTGTTCCCTCAGAACAAAAAGGTCATTTCTGTATTCTGACACAGATTTATCGCATTGTCCTGTTCTCTCTGACATTGCTCAAGTTAGATGGCTGCTCCAAAATAGCTCTTTAAAATAGTTGCCCAGGAACCCTGTTAGCAGCCACATGCAGAACTGGCTGCATTCACATCCCATGTTACCCACACAGCATCGTGCAGTGATCTTCAGAAACAAGGGATGGTTGATTCCTGGAAACCTCATATAGCTGGAGAGTGTGGAGAAAAGGGTGGTAATAAAACAAAGGAGAAGGAGGAAGTGTGTGAGTTAAGCTAATTGGTTCGGGGAATTTTGAGGAGTTTTCTTTGTCCATTTATGGTAATATTAAAAATTCCTTGAGGACATGGACTAGAAGCGAGCTTTCCACCTTTGCTCATTTGTCAGCAGTCATCAGTGTTGCTTTCTCTGCCTGTCTTGATGGATCTCGTGGCCATGGGCTTAGTTTTTCCTTTTCCACTTCTGCTAGTACCAGCCATGGTGGAGCATTTCCCAGACAACGAGTTCCCACAAGCCCATGATGGGCATAAAGCTTGTAACAGAGAACATCTGCCATTGAAGCCACCCTTCAGTTTGTCTGTTACACAGCTAATTCCTCTTGCTGTGTTAACTCCCATGAAATGACAGCATGACTCTTGCCTCTGTTACTAGATCAGAAATCAAAAGCATAACAGATTAAAACGTGAGAGCCTGTCAGAGCAGCTTTGAAGAGCTTTCGTATCCATCTGCTGTGCTGTCACCTTTCACCGGCTCTGAAGACACTCATCCAGGGCCTGCTGTCTTCTGAACTTGTGTTAAGATTTTTTAAAAGTTAGAGTCCCATGCATGCCCACCCATGCTTAAGGCCCTGTTAAGCATGCCCACCCATGCTTAAGGCCCCGTTGTGCTGCAAGAGCAGCACAAAGGAAACCCTTAACAGAGACTTGGACTGTCTGTACTGCCAGCAGGAGTAAGTCTTCCTCTTGGGAAGAGTCAGCTTCTTGCTGTCCACTTGTCTCTCCTTTGTGCATGCTGGCTGCTCAGCACTGTGTATGTATTTCTTCTCTTTTCTCTATCAAGCTGTTACCTTATGTATTGCACTTAAAAGGCATTACTGTTGAAGTGCAATGCATAAGGTTTTGCATAAGATTACTGTCTGTCTTTCTTGTGACTGTCTAGCACCTGACACATGGCACACCAGTGACTTTGCAACACAGGACAGAGAAGCAGGCAAGGCACAGCTTTCTGATCCATCCTCTTTCTCCTGTCTTGCAGGCAATGAAGTTCCTTCGAAAGAGCATCATGAGCTGAAGCCATATGTCCATCACCTGCATGTCATCGACAACCAGCAAGCTCTGTTTGAGCTTTCTCACAGGATAGAGCCACGAGTGTGAGCGTACACAGCTTCCTATAACCTTGTAACTGCAGCACTTTGAATTAAGTGAATGTTTATGCCAAGCATGTTGCTTCCCTATATAAGAACAGTTTACTGAGTTTTATCAGTAGCTCACACAACATGCGCAGGAAAATCAGGCAAGAGCCAGCAAAGGAGCTGCTCACAGAGTTGCAGGGCAAGCTTGGTGCCATTCCCACTGGTCACTGGGATGTGAGGGAGCAGAGCAGCGTCCTTTGAACTCAGGAGCTTGGTTTCTGTGAAAATATTGTTTGGTCCTGTGTAGCTTTCAATGCAGATTCTGCCAGTATTAGAATGAAAGGAATCATCATGTCACAGCAGCAAAACATTTCAGCAAGCAACATGCCGCAAGGGGATTGATTCCCAGTTCACCACATATGTACCTCACTAATTCAAGGCTGCCAAAAGTATTGTTGCCAAAAATAATGTGCAATCTCTGCAGTTCCTCTGAGTCCACTGGAACATCATATTTGAGATAAGTGCAAACAAGCAAGGATGGGAATATAACAAGGCAGCACAACCAGATGAAACTCAAGTGTATGTCGTGTTGTGGAGATCAGCAGTAAACAGTCCATGCTGTTACGGTCCCTTTAAGAACCTGTTCATCCACACTGTAAGAGCCAGTCCACTTTCGTTGCAATTCATGGACACAGTTGTTTGTGTACTGAAAACATGTTATTTTCTTCCTTTTCAGTTATCTCAGATTTAGCACTGGGTCCTGCAGTTAACACGTTATAAATTATTATAGCAGAAGCTTTGTTTTCTGCTTGGATTACAGCCTCTTTGATGTCTATTCAGAGGCAATGCCTAGATCCACCTATATTCCTAACTCATCTCCTGGAAATACCATTTCAGCAGGTAAAACTTCATCTAACTTGCACATGCTTCTAGTTTTTAAAGAACAGAGAGGTGCACCTTACAAGGGTACCACTGTAATTGCCTGCATACGCACCGAGCTCTCAGCATCAGGGTCCCTTTACTGCTTTTGTCCCTCTCATACCCTTCTCCTAGCCAGTTCTCATGTAGCTACAAGTACTACATCTGGGCATGTACTGAGGCAGCGTTTCTAAAGTCTTGTCTACAGTTGACCTACATCTCAAGCACCATCACAACCATAGCTCTGGTTTTCAGTGCTAAGAAGTTGCCCTGAAATAACCTAGTGAATGCTGCAGGCAATGTGCAGAGTGCTGCACGGTCTGCCACGTGTTTGTACACTGACTCATGGCAACAGTCCTTTTGCACAGCAGGGAGGATACATAGCATCGATTGCCCATCTCTATTGTATGTTTTCCACATGAGGAAGACTTCCAAGAAAATGCTCATTTACTAAAATATGGGAATACTGAAGTAGCATGCTCTTCATCATTGTGTTATCTCTGGTTTAAAGGGATTTAAAAAAAGCAGCTTTAACAAGTAGTCCGTGGGGGAATCTGTAGAATGCATTCAGTTTTCCCATCTGTGAAATATTGTATAGATCTATTGTAAAGGAAACAGATGTTTCAGAAATGTATTTGCTTGTACTTTGTTATTATTATCAAATACTATATGATTTTTTTTTTTTAGAAAAAAAGTCGTCTTTTTACCCAGTAAAAAGAAAAAAAATAAACTCTTGCTGGCCATGGAGTAAAAATTTCCTATGTTCTTCTGTAGATGTGACTGCACATATTGTAAATAACTGTTTAGTGCAAACAGACCAAAACTGTTCAGATGAAGATATTAGCTGTGGTGGGCACCTTTTTGCAATGTAAGAACAAAAACCAGATGCAATTTGTTACTTGTGTTATTGCAGTTCTTCCTCTGGCTACAACACTCAGAATTCCCACCCTAACTGCATTACCTGGGTGGTTTCCTGGGTTTTGAGCTCCCCCTTGTGAATTGTTTTTTTACTGTGGCATTATTTTTAGGAGCCTGTATGTAGACCATGCTTCCGCTCATATGGTGTAACTCTTTGGTCCACAAATTGTTCTCTTGAAATCTGTGGGAGAGGGAGGATTAGAAGGTATTCACGGTGAGAAAGTGACGCTGTTTCTCAGTTCACTGCATTTGGCTCTGTGATAGTTTTGGGTAGTTACTGCTGATGAAGCAACAGTGATGGCAGAGAAGAATAAAAGACAAGGAAACAAAAGGGGGGGGGAATAACAATGACTCTGTGCTGCGGCTTTGATTTGAAAGCCTGCTAGAGTGACCTTGAAGGCTCCTCACTCTGCCAATTCAAAATGAAGTAAAGGGATGGGTTAACTTGTACCAGTAGGCTTCAAGCCAGCTGAGGTGTTGGCTATCTGCATCACTGTAATTTCACGCTAAATCAGCTGTTGTCTACCCCTTGCAGCTGGCATAAAATCGGTTTGAAGGCATATAGCCAGAATTAACCTTGTTATCTATGTTAGACTACTAATTAGCTAATTAGACTACTGTTTATAACTTTAAAAACTAGTTTTTATAGTGGCCTGTATAACTTGGATATAAATTTCTGGTCGCAGGGTCCAATGTCTGCATCAATTTCACTTTGAAAATATGGACCTTTTAACTGTTACCATAAAAGAAAGGCAAATAGCCTTAACCTGTAGCTATTGTCTAATTTAAAAAAAGGCCCTTCAGAGACTTCATTCAACAGGTGAAATATTGCAGAGCTTTGCTGCAGACTGGCAAGCAGTTTGAAGGTGAGGTGGTTGGGAGAAGAACTACAAGTAAACCCTGTGAAAGGGAAGGATAATACTATAGAGCCTCTGCCAGGGTCCAGCACTGATGATATTGTGATTTATTTTTTTTTTTTACATCCTTCAATAATGCAATTAGGTTACATAGGATAAAATCTAATAAATCTTGTAAATTCGGTTTATCACAGTCACACCTAGGCTTAAATACTCTGCAATTTTTTTATAGTAGCTAGGAGGATCAGTTATACATAATAAAGGAAGGAGCTATGTCACTTTATACCTCTTTGATGTGGGATTTTGTTGCAACAAATTTAGATGTTTCTATGACACAGCTTGTTGATTCCAGCACCATCTTGGATAGTAATAAATTTCATTTGCATAACAGTGGCAAAAAAAGAGAAAGATGTAAATACTAAACATTTTAGCAGAGTAATATTTATTTGCATAGCCTATTTATTGTCATCTTATACACTGTTAAACACTGGGATGAAGTCAATGAGCTGAGGTAAGAACACCTGCCTGTTCTCTCTGAGTGCCATAATGGTGTCAGCTTGCATTAAAAGTAATAAAATAGAAGCCCCCAAATCAAGGTATTTACCTGACTTCTCAGGGACTACAGCTAGTAGTTATCCACCATTATGAGACCTGGTATGTATGAAATAATCTGATTTACCAGAATCAATGTTGCCAATGTTTTCCTTTGCGTATTTCATGCTTGTTTGCCTGTACATATTATTGTGTCGTGTATTTATGAGAGCTAGTAAGCAATAATTTATATGTCAAAATGGCCAAGCAATACAAGGTTAAAACTTGTAGAAGCAACTGTTATGTTTATCTTGCATTTTCCAGTGTTTTTTAATATTGCTTTTCAAAATATAAAAACTACCTTAATGAAGTCTGGGCTCTGTGCCTTCATGCCTACCACACATACTTATTGTTCCTATATGGAATATTTTACTTCCAGTCATTCAGTTCCACAAACCCTCACTGCTTTTTTTGAGGTGGATGCAGACTCACATAGAGGCTCAGGAGCCTGACCCCATTCAGAGCTGCTCATATATCTCTGGTCAGTCAGATTTGCTGGTACCAATGTTTCAAAGCAGGAATGATGTTAATGGGGTCTCAGCTGTGCCCTGTCATCACAGTGCAGTCAAAGAGGGGCCTCGAGCTGCCATGAGAAGTCCCTGTGGGGGAGGGGAGGAGTAAATCTATCTTCATATCCTCTGGAGGCTGCTTATTGGCACTTGATCCTCTCACTGAGGACAGCAAATGCTTTCCCTGTCATCAGTCATCCCTGACGGTGCTGTTTCCTCTCCTTCCTCTGGGCGCGTCTGCAGCAGGGAATGGAAAGCTCAAGATGGGCTACAAGTGCACTGTAACACAGCTGAGGCTTGCCCTGTCCTTCCATCCTTTCCACTTGCAAACCCTGGGAACCAGTAAGCCAAACCTGGCTATTTCAAACAGAAATAACACCTGGTACTTACTAGCATGATGTCTGTTGAAAGTGCTTTACAAATTGGCAGTACTTAATCCTCTGAGTGCCTGCACCTTGAGGAGTCTTAAGCCTGACCTACAAAGTGCCAGTGTTAATATACAGATAGGGTGAATTTTAATATTAGTATTTAAAACAAGCCTAAATTGTTGACACTTCTCTGTAATGATGTTTAAAGAAACATTACAGACAGACATCCTTTTCTAGATCCAGTTGCACAAGCTGAAGAATTTACAGTCCCAGCTGTTTATCACTACCCTTTTTTGGATATCATTGCTCTCCACAATGTAGCCCAGAAGATCAGAGGAGAATCTCCTTAACCTATTGCCACATGTGGCTACATGCAAGCAACTAACTTTGCACCAAAGGGCTCTCCTTCCATCCATCAGCCTTGCTGGGAGATTTTCATAAGAAGCTAGATTGATGGTATCTTTAAGATGATTTGCAAATGGGAGAGTGTAGAGCTGAGGATAGCTGCCTTACAGCTCCAGCTGTGCTAGAAGAACCACAAGATGAGGCTGCTGCACTGCAGATGTTGTCCCTTCAGACCATCTTGCTAAACTATTCAAACAAGGGTTCCTCTATCCCTGTCCACCAAAAAGATCTTGATTGGCAAAGGGCTGCCATTTAGTCTGCTCAGTGGTCTCTGAATTTTAACTGAAGTATTCGGAGAGGCTTGTGCTGAGTCATTCCTTTAGGAGCTGTATGACTGTGATAGACAGCAGGTGGGAGCAGTTTGCTTGGGGGCCAGCACTGCCCTCTGTGCAGAGCAGGACTGACCTGCATGGGGACAACTGCTCTACACTGTGTAAAAGTGACTTCCTCTTCTCAGTAGGAGGAAGCATTCAACTGGAAAAACAAACCTCCTGAATATTTGCTGTGTTTCACACACCAACAGACTTTCATGCCACCCAGAGCATATGCCCCTGAGTCCTGCTGTCTTTTGCCATGCGTGTGGCAGCTGAGTTGCACACATAACAAAACCCCAAAAAAGGTAAGTCTTCCTCTGGCTCCACAGCTACAATGTTCACCATTTCACACTGGAGACTTGTGTGATGGCACCCTCCATGCATGGCTACAATAATACTGTGAAATGCTTGTAGTTGTATCAGAGTTAAAAGAATCAAGCAGGATAATTAATAAAGTCCAGAGAACTGAGGAGGCCTGTAATGGTGGGCCAAATGAACAACTGTTGAAGCAAGGAGAGAAGTGTTCTGCATTCCCTCTTGTCTGGAAGAAGATCTTTGGATCTTCAACATGTTTTTCTCCATCCCTTTCCTATGCCAGGGAGAGAAAGGGGCATGATCTTGAAAGCCTTGGAAAACTTCCTTTACTCTGAAGGGTGCTGATGACTTTTTTCAGGTCTGATATCCCCAGGGAAAATCCTCAGGGTAGAGTCAATCTTCCCCATTTAGAAAAACACAACAATCCTAGGGAAACCAGGCAGTTAAAACCCAGGGAAAACCTCCTTTTGGGGTTAGGAAAGAGAAGAGTCATTCAGGAGGTCACCTAAATGCAGCAGGTGAGAGGGAAGCTCTTCTTTTGTGTTGTCTGCATGGGTCTGATTGATGGCACCTGGATATTTGGCTCCTTGGTTACATTGCAGGGAGACGTGGGTAGTGCAGGGTTGGCTTGTAAGTAGGAGAGTGTCATTTCCTAACAAGAGGTCTTTGTGGGCTGCCTTTAGTGCTCTTTACAATCCTAGTGCCTCTAGTTCCTATTCGTAAGGTTTCAGCTCTCATCTCTGTGGTAAGAAGTCAGAGCAGTCCTGGAGGTGCTAAGAAATAGGGGATCAACATAGTTTAGTATAAAATTTGATTGGAAACCTGAACTTATCCTTTTTACCTGAAAATGTGATTCAGTAGCATAATTTGGAGAAGTATACAAGCAAGACATGAAGATGTCTTTAAGCAGAAACAGGTGAGCTAAACCACACTGAAGGACAGCCTGCCTTGATTAGATGGGTCTTAAATGATGGTTTGTGCAATAGACATAGGTTATAGATTGCTTGATCTTTCAAAGAGATTGGCTTGCAGAAAGTTGTCAGGGCTTCTAAAACTTGCAGATTTTTGTTTTGTTCTCCTGCTGTTGCTGATACCAATGCAAGTCCTTTCCTGCCTGCAGCGTAGGAAGAGCTGTTTCAGAACAACTGTTAGTGCTCCAGGTAAGGTTATAAAGAAAAATAAAGGAAAGGAAAAATCTTGCCATTGTCTGAGCTAATCATGGAGCTGCCTCTGCAGGAAAATGGTTTAGATGAGAGTGTTACTTAGCAGTGAAAAACAGCACTGGCAGTGCTTCTCCATTTAACTTAAGTGGTGAAGGGTCCCTTGGGAAAGGTACAGCCAGCTGTGACAGATGGCTTGAAAGCAAAGAGCTGTGCTTTGCTGGAGGGAATTTACTAGCAAATGTAAACAGAGATGATTCAGACCTAGAAATGACAAAGGATGGTGAGGATCAAGCCCCAGATCAAGCACTTCCTTGGTAAGTTATAGAGGCTTCTGACAAATGTTTGTGAGAGCTCTCCATAACACTAGGCAAAGGTTTTGTTGCTTCACAGTGAAGCTGCTACTGAGGTCATGTGGACTTGATTCCTGCGTGGGCTTGCCCCCAGCCAAATGTGCCTGTCAATGGGAGCGACTCTGGTACAGGTAAGGGTCTGCTGAGAAAGTTGGCTCAGCAGCTCCACGTGACAATCCTTCAGCCGTAAAGCCCTCAAAAGTTTGAAGTCTTCAAATTATGTCAAGCAGCTTGGGAAAACTTTCATGAAAACAAGGCCAGCTGCTGTGATAAGGGTGTCTCTCCCTTTCATTTAGAAAGGCTGTGTGAAATCAAGTTGAACTTTGGTTGATTTCCATTGGGTTTTTAAAACTCTGGATGCTCAAACGTCTGTTGCCAGGCTGAGTCTCTGGCTACACTATAAAACAGAATATAGTCTCTCTGTCCAAACTGAAACACTTTAAAGCCGCAAATAACTGTGAACTGCTACTAAAGCTGGGCTTCATACAAGGTCAATCCCCTGGTTATGGTGCAGCATCAGAGACCAGCAGAGCTGCTGGGTGTTGGGTGCCCTATCATACTTACAGGGATGAAAACTGTTGTGGCTGACACTAGTTGCCAGCACTGACCTTGGCTCAAGGCTATAGCTACATGCTCCAGATTCAGGGCACATTATTGGTTGGAGGCCACTTTCTAAGGCCAAGTAGGTGATGATGTAATAGTAGAAACTAGAAGAGAGGTATAAGACAGGGTGGTAAATGAATTGAACAAGTCCAACATAGCAGAGGTAGAACAGGGGAGGACTGTTAAGGGAAAATAACATGCAAATCTGAAAACTCACACGTGTCTGAAATTCATTTAGACCCTAATTTACTGCTTATTTGATGAGGTTACTTAATATTAAGTGAGGTAATTCACTTTACTTTTAAATAAGAGTTTCTGCTGAAGACTATAATGTAGTTTAGTCGATCAAATTTAATTCTGTGCATTTTGCTAACTTGAGTTATTTCTCAAAGCAATTTGAGTGACTCCAGGGAACTTGGTCTGGCTTTATACAAGTGCAAATGAGGAAAGACTTAGGCTAAATGTTAAGGTTTTCAGAGGACACTGAGAGATACTAACATGGTGAAGGTAGGTATCATTTCCCAGAAATAAACAGACAAAAAACTGCTGGAGCCATGTGTTACTACAAGACAGGCAGAGTTTTTATTGGGGGCATCTCTGCAAAGACCACATCACCATCCTGTCCAAGAAAAGGGCTTGGTTGACTGTGGTTGGTTGCAGCAAAAACTGGTGTCAGCTAGAACAAACTTTTCCAGCAGCTAACCTGCTTTTAGCAGTATTTCCCTTTCAAAAGCTCAGATACCATTGACATCTAGTGGTGAAATCCTGTGTCTGGAGAGCCAGTTTATTGCATCAAAACTGCCAGTGTGACCTCAAGGGACTGCAGGATGTAATGCAGCGGTGAGGCTCCTCTATCATCTGCCTGGTCCACTGACCCCAGTTTATTAGATTTGTTGACTCAGATGCCCATTTAAGTGGACTGATGGGATTATCTGTTCAGCTCTTCTGTGCACGTTTCCCCATGGATTTAACTTTCAGGCTTTATGATGAGAGTGCACATTCACTTAGGATAGATGCTAATAGGAATAAAGACTGCTGCCTTCTCGTCTGTCGGTAGCCCCTGGAGTCAGCGTCTCATCCAAAGCTGTTGACTGCAGTGTGAGCATTTGGTCTGGGGCAGCTTCTCCAAACATGCTGCAGAGCTGTCTGGGCGTGTTTGTCAAAAGCAAGCAAATCCCCTGCCTGCTGGTTTAATGGCATGAGGCTGAATTCCCTGTTTAACCAAAGGACCAGTTTTGTGAGCCCAAGGAGTAGATTTTTCTCTGGAAGGTGCTGTTGTGCAA